GGAAAAAGAGATTATATTAAAATATGAAGAGTTCAGTCTCTACCAACAGAGGAAGACGACAGAGATAACAAAGCAGCTTTTGCTAAAGCATCTGCTTGTGAATTTTTCCACACGAGGAATAAACTTAAAAGAGAGAGATGAAAACAAAGGGCCTAGAGATATAATATCCGGCAGGATTCCTCTAAGGTCCTTCTGAAGAGTGCTTGAAATGAGGAGCCCAACAAGAGTCTTTGAATCCGAGTGGAAGACCACCGATCGATACTCTTTTTCCAGAGCATCAAGCACCGCCGCACGCATTGCTAAAGCCTCTACCATCAGAGCTGAGGCCACAAAAAGACGAGACGAGACAAGGTCCCGTGAACTTCTAAACGGGAGGATCCAAACCTGAAAATCCAACCCATACCTCCGAAAAGGGAGGAGCTAGTCCAAGCCGCATCCACAAAACAAAAGATATCAATTTCGGATGGAGGCGTAGTGATCTGTGGGGGTTGGAAAGGAAGTGATTTTGGAATGGACTCTTGAGCTTGTTGCCAAAACCTTGCTTCGGTAACCGCCTTAGAGATAATTTCTATCCTCGAGAATTCACGGTTTTGGAAACAGAGGGAGTTACGTGCCTTCCACGTTTGCCAGAGAATCCAAGGATACAATGGGATAGTTACTCCCGTAGGGGGCATATTGAGCAGAGCTCGAGCCTCCGAGAGTTTGTCTTGAGTAGATAGAGCCCTCCTAAAACTAGGGGAGGAAGTAATGGGAGCATGATCCCATATGGTTTGAGCGAAAGGACAGAAGAATAGAACATGACTCACATCTTCATCTCCTCCACATCTCAAACACTTCACCGAGGAAGTAATGTGACGACTAGCGAGGGTAGCACCCACTGGAAGGGCTTGAGAAAGTGTTCTCCATAAAAAGGACTTGATTTTGGGGGAGGTACACAGAGACAAAACATTATACATCCAGTTAAAATTTCTCATGGCTGTCGACGTAGCGCAGTCTGGTGGTGAGTCCATAGCTAAGTGATAACCTGATATCGAAGTTTAGGCTCCTGATTTCGAAGGAAGCCAGGCTTGAGAATCCGAGGAACCTAAAGAGCTAGGTATTAGTTGTCGAATCTGCTCCTCATACTGAGGTAAAAGTTGACGAATACCGTCTACATTCCAATCCTTGGATAACGGATCAATAAGGTTTCTGACTGTAAGTCCAATTGCAGCTTGCGCCGGTGGTCCCATAGGCCTAAGAGGATGCGTAGTTGTGAGCCAAGCATAGAGGTTGATACACGAACCATCTCCCACTAGCCAGCCAAGACCCTTGCGTAATATC